AAAAAAAAAAAAAAAAAAAGTGGTAAGAAACAAAATACAAACATACAACCTTTGACCACAAGTATGGCAAACTTCACAGGGAAAAAATGAACAGCAGCACTGAACCTGCTACTTTTCCCTCCCAGAATACACAATTGAAAGAGTCTGGGTATCTTCTTGATGTCATTTTAAAATGTCACCAGTGATCTAGTTCTGTTTGCAGTTGCTTTATAGCTTAGTCCAAACTCTTTGGGAATCCATCTGTATTTATGCTTGCACCACCTCACAGGATAACCTATATAGTATACATTAAGTCTTAATATTCTAGAATTTATAAACTCAATATACTTCTAATTAGTAATATTTATGATTATAAGATTCCAATGAAATTTTCTGTTAATTCTTCCAAATCATAAAATCTTAATTTCCTCCCCAAGTTGTTTTTATTAGTCTTTTGGTTATAAAATTACTTTGGGCCAAGTCCTTCGGGAGTAATTTGCAATAATTCTCATACCTCATTTCAAGAGTCTTTCATTGTTTAAATATAATTTGAACTCTTATCTTTACATGACCAGGTTAAAATCAAGACACTAAAAAAAATTTTGTGAATGGGCTGAGACCTTAATGATCACTGTTGTTGTTGTGTGCCGACGAGTCGGTTCCGACCCATAGCAACCCTGTATAGGGTCTCCAAGGAGCAGCTGATGAGCTTGAACTGTTGACCTTGTGGTCCAAACTTACACTGCAGCCCAGCGCATTAACCCACAGTGCCACACTAGTGCTTACAAGAGAAAATAGACTTTGAAACCACTGATTAACAAACTCAAAATCTGGTTTAAACAGCTGTCTCCAAAGTAATTTTGTGATTGCAAAGTGCCGCCTGTATCTATTACTTTAAAAATTGGATGTTTATTTCTTTTACGGAAACAGACTCAGCAGTGTAATGTCTTCCTGGAGTATTCTCCTTCTAGGAAGTGTCAGTCACATCTTTGTAAAATTTAAAACAAAAACAAAAAACAACAACTAAATAATGTATTCCCCACTCAAAACAGTTTTACAAAGAAAGAGAATACCCCAGGAAAGCATTACGCTGCTGAATCTATTTCCATAAGAGAAAGTAAACATCCAATTTTTAAAGCAATATATACAGGCTGCACTACGCAATCACAAAATTTTGTGAAAATTGGAGAAAGCTGTTTAAACCAGATTTTGAGTTTGTTAATCGATGGTTTCAAAGTTTATTTTGTTTGATCAGCACCTAAGCTGCCATCTACCCAAACACTTTTATAAAGAATGTATTTCTAACTACAATAGGTTTTACACCAGCTACAGTTGACATACCTTTGCAATACATTAACTAAGTGAAAATTCAAATCGCAGTTGAATTCTTCTCCTTCAATAAGAAAACTAAAGCTGTCATACTCTTTTCTCGCCTATCATATGCTCCAAAAGAGTTAACAAATGTATATCCATGTTTATCTTTCAGCAAATTTTCTCAAAAATTAAAATTAATTTAGTCAAATTACGAGTGCAGTACTGAAAGCTATTATTTGGAGAAAATAGGTGAATCTTTGTATTGCAAAGAAATATGCTCTATTCCCTACACTACTCGTTTTTTGTTATTCAAGTTTTTAACTCCTTCAGTACGTTTTTTTTGAGCACTAGCTAGTATTAGAATTTATTTCTGATGAGTGAGCACCACATAGTGGACATTAGTGGAATTACAGTTTTTAAAACAAACCCAATAAAACTAAACCAGCTGCCAAGAAGTGGCTTCTGATTCATGGACTAGGCCTTCCCAGATTGTCAATCTTTATGGGTGCAGACAGCCTCATCTTTCTAAGGTTGGCACATTTCAAAGATCTAGAATTATTACACTATACAGATTCCTTTTAGTCCATGGTCAACACCATTGTTGTTGCTATGTGCCGTGGAGTCAGTTCTGACTCACAGCGACACTGTACAGGATTTCTGAGGCTATAAATTTTTACGGGAGCAGAAAGCCTCATCTTTCTCCCATGGAACAGCTGGGTAGTTTCAAACTGCTGACCTTGTGGTTCACAGCCTGATTCGTAACCACTATGGTACCAGAGCTCCTTCACCATAGATGCCTTCAAGGTCAGGTATACACACCATAGAATGGTAAACCATCTGAAATGAAAACTGATTGAACCTAACACCCAAGAAGAGATCTATCATAAGTAGAACTGGGTGCCATTGGCTGAACTGTGGCCCAGGGAGAGATAAGTTAGAAAAAAGGGGGAAATCTATAAGAATGTAAAATCAAAGTGAAGAAAGGGGATGGAATATTATAGGAGACCACTGTTATATAAAGTCAAGAAAAGGTTTCCACACTAAGAGAAACATTCTTTGATAGTTACCAGGAATTAGACAGAACAGACAGTAATTCACTGATTACAGGGTAGCCACGTGTAAATATGGGTGACCAAACCCACTGCCATTGAGTTGATTTCAACTCACAGTAATCCTATATAGGGTTTCAGTGACTGTCAATCTTTTGGGGAGCAGATCGCCTCATCTTTCTTCCACAGAGCAGTTGGTGGGTTTGAACTATCAACAACAATAAAAAACCCAAACACGATAGAGACAGACATGGAAAGGAGTGCAGATGTAAAAGCAACAAAGGTAAATATACACAATCCTACAATAATGGTGACCTATGGGAAGGAGCTCTAGTAGTGTAGTGGTTACGAATTGGTCTGTGAACTGCAAAGTCAGCAGTTCGAAACTACCAGCTGCTCTGCAGGAGAAAGACGAGGCTTTCTGTTCCCGT